GGGGGGTTACAAGTCTCAAGATTTAGTTTAGACAAATACTTCATTCGAGAAACGAGAAATGTCATGTTAGAGTATCCACCTTTGGAATGACCGACCTACATGGTGTTCACTAGTGCGTTGAATTATTAAAACAAACAAACAAACAAACAGATAGACAGAAACAAGCCCAAACTGATCCAGAATTTTTGGCACCAGCCAAATTAGATCTTCCAAGGGAGCTCTCGCGGTCTAGATGTTACGGTGTTAGCAAAAATCTCGGAGGTCCTGTGTGCAAGTTACGCACGTTAAAGATCCCTTGGTGTTCAAAAATCGGTCAGATTAGACTTGGGCCGTCACCTAGGCAAAATTCAAAATTAACTTCTCTACAGCATCAATCTGAAAATGTCTAAAGTGTCCCGCGCGCTAATGTGACCTTATGCAGTCGCGTGCGACGCAAAACCCTTACCAAAACCAAAACAATTTTTTTAAAAATCTTCCGATCCGAGGTCCGCCTGCACGCTCTCTCCACTTATTAGGAGTCACGCTGACAGGTTTCGAGGGGGGGGATGAGTGCGGTTTTCCATTCTTGACTTTCGACTTGCGGCCTTTGGTGACCTCTGAACCATGACCCAGCCAGCTTATCGTTGTATCGAGCGAGCGAGTGAGAGGCCGCGGGCTGGTTTAGTTGGCGTGTCAGCGCAGGCACACAGCACCGACAAGTTGGCCCCGCCGTGTTGACGTCACGTGACTATCTCAACGTAAAGTTGGCGCAGGGCGCTCGCTACTAGGCTAGCCAACAAGTTGCTGGTCTGCCGCGGCCGTGTGCTGTGTTCCGCGTGGTGTGTTGTGTGGAGTGTGTAGTATGTAGTGTTCGCCATTCTCCATCTGACGCTATCTTAGAAGGTTTAAGACAATGACGAGAAAGCGGCATTCTGATACTGATAGTTTGAAGACGAGAAAGTACTGTTACAGCGGAATAATGTCACTTCAAATACTTTAAACAGCAGGCTATAACCGGTAAAAGGAGAAAACAGCAAATTTTGAAGTTTTATAGACCACGTGGCGTGGAGCTACAGGCTTACTGTTTTTAGAGACTGCCTATTCAGTGCTTGGGGTGCGACTCCTTCTCCCCCCACACAGAGTGTGTGTCATTCATAGAGTAGTCACTTGTTATGACAGTATTATAGCTCTTCGTACCGTCAGCATTCAGTCTCACTCTCTGTGATAGACCACGTGGCGTGGAATTATTCGTTATAATTTAGAGACTGTCTATTCAGTGCTTGTAGTGGCTACTTTTCCACTCACCTGGAGTGTGTGTAGTTAATAGAGTAGTCGCTCACTATAATACTATTCTAGCACTCATACTACAATCAGCCCCCAGTAGCTTTCTCTTTGTCGTTCTTGTGTAGTTTGGAGAGAAGCCACCGGTATGACACTATTCTAGAAGTCTAGCTCATGATTGTACCGTACCGTCTCTCTGTGTTGTTATTATTATTCGTGTGATTTTAGACTGCGGAGGAGCCAACGTATCCCGCAGCTCTGAAGAGGATGGACGTGGAGGCGCTGATCGACGCCGTGTTTGTCCGGCCGGCCATCTGGGACCGCAACGACAAGCGCCGCTCCAACCGCCAGGTCGTAGACAAGTGCTGGGCAGACATCCAGGCGGAGCTCAACGTGGAAGGTGAGCGGATTCTTAGCTTCTTCTTCTTCTTTTTCTCCTTCTCCTTCTTCTTCTTCTTCTTCTTCTTCTTCTTCTTCTTCTTCTTCTTCTTCTTCTTCAAAAATCTGAAACAAACACAGCGTGCCACTCATTTCTCTTCTCGTAAGCTCTCATTCTATTAGTAAGCCATTCTTGGTCTCCCTCTGTGGACGCTTGAATCGACACGAAACAAAAAACAAAACCCAAACATTTCGCTCTCTCTGGAACAGTAGAAGGCAAAAGATCTAGAAGAAGACCAAGAAAACATCGTGTAACTTTCTTTGGTCAACTTGATCAGATGGATGACGTGAACAGACCAGGATGTGATGGGTTTTTTTTTTCTTCAATAAGCAGAGGACACCGTCGAACATAATATATTGGCTCACAGAGTAAATAAATCATTTGCAGACAATTAAAGACGATTTTTTTAAAAACGGCGCTTACAACTGCATAAGGTCATATGAGCGCGCGGACACATTAAACTTTTTCAGTTGGTAGGAAATTTTGAATAATTATCATTTTATGTTGGATATCAATAATCAATAATATTAAAATAGGACAAGAATCAGTGAGGGCTGAGATAATAAGATATTTTTGATATAACAACTGGAAACTCATAAAATTGACAAAATGTTCAATTGTTATTTCTTGTTTGCGTATATCCCTCTTTCAGACTGCTCCGGCGTTTAAGCTTCAGTGTGTCTCTCTTTCTTAGTTAAGCATACTTGCCCGTTTCCACGGCATTGATTTTCAAGTGGTTCATTGTCTGGTGGTCACTGAGTCAGCTAATAAAAAGGAAATGTTAGGTGAAGCGCACCTAAACATCTTTTTTACATATAGTAGAGAATCTTTGGTAGTAGCGAGTATTCGAGGCCGTATTCGATGTCTTTGCAACTGCCTAACTTAGCAATTTCAATACCAACGCGGAGCAAGTTAATGGTCAGCTTCCGCGACAGGTAACTTGTTTTACGACCACGGGGCGAATTCGAAACCCCCCTGTTGGCGACCGTTCACAAGTGACGTCAGCTCAGAGAGAGAGAGAGAGAGA